CCATTTTCACGCTTACGCTTATTTTATACCTCGTTTAATACAGAGTCAAAGGTATATTTAAGGCATATTTTTAGCGTGAACCGCATGCAAAGCATACGGATAGAATACGCTAAGTCAAATTATTCTATCCGTATGCCTTGTATGCGGTTCACGCTAAAAATATGCCTCAAATATACCTTCGACTCTGTATGTAAACTCCATTTTTACGTTAACAATTATTATTATTCATTTATTCACCTTGAGAATTACAAAAATCTGAACTCACATTTGATGCGGTTGTTTAAAATCGCTCATTGATTACGCAAAAAAAACGAAGCACCAAACACATTCTGGCGCCATAATGAGTGTTTTCTGCACTGGACGAAAAAAATTATAGTGAAATCAAAAACTCAACCTTTTATGAATAGACTTTCGGAATCATTTTTTCGATTTTCTCTAAAATTTACTGAAAAAACTGTACCCAAATTATCTCTTCTTTCACATTCAGTGGCGAAACGTTTGCCGGAGGCGAAGCAGGCGTGGCTGTACCAGAGACAGTTTGCACAACGAAAGCGGTCGGCATAAGTGTCGATATCAATGTTTACGAACCACATTTACTCGCTGGAACGATGGCTCACATGATCGGCCACAATGTTGGAATGAGCCACGATGATGGACGTAAGTTATCCTCTCCAAGTATTTTTCTAATACAAACTATTTTTCTTCCTTTCTTATGCCATTGATTCCCTAATGAATCAATTGGCACTTGCTATCGTTTCGCAAAGTGCAATCGCTTGCGGCGATTAGTTTCATGCAATTAACACCATAATTATATAAATTGGAGTGAGAATTTGTGCTAATGGCAAAATGAATTTGTTGCATACGTAGGCGATGAGTGTGTTTGCCGTGATTGGCACGGCTGTATCATGGCCCAATCGATTGTCGGTTTGGAAAATGTTCAACCGTATAAATTTTCCGAATGCAGCAAAAACGACTACATCGACCTGCTACGAATGTCACACGGTGGCTGCATGATGAACAAACCGAACGAGGTAAGTATTTGTGTGCGTTTTTTTTTTTGTCGCATCGCAATTTGAATGTAAAGTGGAAAATCTCTACATCTCCAATTAGTTGGGTATTTTCATTTTGAAATGCACTTCAAATGTTTTTCAGTTCGAAAAAAACTAGCGGATGCTTTACGGATTTTTTATATTCTCACATCGTTATACCGTTTATTAATTTCCGATAATAACAGTTTTTTTTTCAGTATTCGTCATTGATCACGATGCAATGATTCTAATGTAAACTCTAGCGTTCAATGTTTTTCTCCCAAGCTTCATTCCTCTTCATTTATTTCTGTGTATGTTCAATGAGTTTTGAGCGCATCGTAATTTAACAGGAGCGTGCTAACGATCATTATTTCGCTCTCATAGGAGAAAATGGAAAATAGTAATAAAAATTTATCTCTAATTGCTTTTGAAATAAATTGTATAGTCATTAATTGTCTTGGAAGCGCATTTGACTCGGACAATTTTTATGATTCTTCCTTGTTGTTGCAGTGAGAATATGAAAAATCTTGTCACTTTAACTTTTGAAGTGTCTCGGAACATTTGAATAATAGCGAAAAACTTATAGTCATTAAGAATGGAAGTTGCAAAACAATTAAATTAGAGCTTCAATTTTTTGTGGTCATTTACCATAAACCGATTTGAATGCAACGTATTTGCAAGAACAATGATTTGCATTTCAGAGGGTTTCATTTCAACCATTTGCTTTATTTAAAGCGGTAAAATGTTTTTTGTTCTGTTCCTTCGTTAAAATGTGATTGTTTGTAATGATTTTTGTAGTTGGAAATCGAGCGTCGAAATTGCGGCAACAAGATCGTTGAAGAAGACGAAGAATGCGATTGCGGCACAAGTGAGGAATGCGAAAACGATCCATGTTGCGATAGTATAACTTGTAAGCTGAAGACAGAAGCCCAGTGTGCGACTGGATTGTGCTGTGATAATTGCAAAGTAAGTTTTTCGATGCACAGAACCATTGAAGCTTTTGTCTCTATCGTTCTCAAGCGTCTCAATTGGCCACTTTGAGTTTTGAGGCGAATAAATTTAATTCGAAATGTACACAAGTGCAACAAAATCCCCATAAAATGGTAAAAACAATGTTTTTGAAAATGTATCGTCTGTTTTCTTGTTATTTTATAGCTTCGTGAACGGGGCTATGCTTGCCGTGAGGCCCAAAACGATTGTGATATCCCGGAACATTGTACGGGCGATAGTGGAGAGTGTCCGAGGGATGTGTTCAAGAAGAATGGTAACAAATGCAGTGAAGTGAAATCGGCTCTTGGTGAAGTTATGGGTAAGTTCTTGATAAATTGGATAAACAGAAAACGTAAAAAAGCAACGAACCTAACAAACAAACAAACACCCACACACATAATGACACACATACGGAAGAAGTAAAGGAAACAAAAAAAAATCCGAATATTTCATTCGGTGATTCTCTTTCGAAAGTTCCAAATTTTCGGTAAACTTTGATTTTGATTCAGCAATTTTTGTTGTTGCTTTCCGAATTGGTGCAATCTTGAAGACTGTTCACTACGTGTGAAAGGACCCAAATTAACCAAACAAAAGCTAAACGAAATTTGTTCCTTTCGCTTAAATTTCACGACATTCGCTCGAAAGAGACAGACAAATATTGACTTTGTGCTCGCTCATCATTCCTCAATGGCGTGCACTGCACACCCACAAACTTTTGTGTATAGAAACACGAGCAAAGCCAAACTATATACGAGCGAAACGTGCTCTCTATCTTCTTTCAAATCATACAGTTTCTTCTTTCTTTTCTCTCGTTGATGTTGATTCATTCGAAGGATTTTGTGCCGGGCCAGTACACGTGTTTTGCTTTCACTGTATCTATGGCTCTCGAATTTCTGGCCAAATAAAAACTTGAAAGTTCAAACAATGCAAACCATTGAAAACTGATGCTGAATATGAAGACACATATACAAATACATACAAATACGAATGGAAGAACATTCTACGTAATTCATGGGAGTTTTTTTCTGTCAAAAGCATCGAGTTTTTTCTTTTCTTGTTACAGTGTGTTGTACAGTGTTTATAGAGAATCTCCGAGTTGCTATTTATTTTGCCATTTCTTTGCTCCAAAATGCCCCTCATTTGCGAAATTGTAGCAAATTTTCGGTTTTGAACATGCATATTGGTTTCTTTGCTTCCCAAGAGAAACGACCAATATTTTTATACGCTGTCTATCCGCCGAAAATACACTGCTATATATATTCACGCTTATTGGACGCCCAATTGAATATATATTCTAGTGTTTTTTCGGTGTATTCTTCAGCGTGAAACATATTGAATCAATGAATGCATTCATGGCCATCAGAGGGCGCCTGAATAAGTTTCAATATGTTTCACGCTGAAGAATACGCCGAAAATACCTTAGAATATATATTGAATTCGGCGTCCAATAAGCGTGAATATATATTGTAGTGTATTTTCGGCGGATAGACAGCGTATAAACATATTGGCCGTTTCTCTTGGGTTCAGTTTATTGAAAACAATTTCTATTGTTCATCTCTGTTTTTGAATGCTGAAACAACTGTTTATTGCGTATTGTCCTTGTGATGTACTACAAATATCCAATGCCATGGACTGTGTGGAATGATCCAGTAATTGCAAATGTTTTTGAAAGTTCTTGAAGGAGCTATTCTCCTCTCCGAATTTCACTCTAATCACGAATTTATTCATCCAAATGCCCAGATGCTGTTTGAGAAGGAAAAAAAAGCTTTTGTATGTTACCTTGAATCAGAGTTTGATACTGTATGGTGACACACATAGTGACAAATAGCGAAAAAATATATATGCTAAAATTAGGTCTTCACGTTGCTCAACGAAAGCAAATATTTGTACAATTTAAAAAGAATCCAAGGTTCTGTTTACTCATGAAATCAGCAGCAACAGCAGCAACAGCAGCAACGGGAAAAAAAATCTCCAGGGCTGGAATTCTAAGTCATTCCACCAAAATCGTTCGGAATTATTTTTTTTCGTACATAAGACCATATTGGAGTGAAAGAGAGAGATTCCACTATTTTTCAGCGTGCCACCGGAATTATTTCTCACACATTCCACTCTTCCTTGAGTTATCGGAATAATTCCGATGGAACGCTGAAAAACAGTGAAATCTCTCTCTTTCACTCCAATATGGTCTTATGTACGAAAAAATAATTCCGAACGATTTTGGTGGAATGACTTAGAATTCCACCCCAGGATTCAGTGTAATCTCGAGCGCCCGTTGTTCATAAAAATGGACGTAATATGAGATGGAGCACACCCATTCCGTCCGGCATATTTACAGGATGACGTTCAATATTTCGCAATGAACGAAGAAACGATTCAATTTTCGAATGAATTGAAAAAGAAAACAAAATTTATCTTTTCCGCTGTTGCTACTGAAAATGTTGATAAATTGAATGAGCTACAATGCGCCCATAAACTGTACATATCGTCAACATTGAGCATCGTTGCGAGAACGGAATGGAAAGGGATTGAGGAATGAGCGAGTGAGAAAATTCTGTGAAATGCTGTGCAATGAATAACAAATTTAGTTCATTTGACCAACACCATTCTCCGTACGTAAAATGTCTACCAGAATAGATGAAGCGAAATGAAAAAAGAAAAAGAAGAAGAAGATGGACCAAAGTTTTCGAAGCACATCATACGTCGAAAGCATGCAGGAATACACAATGACGCAAGTATGTATCGTTTTCCGTTTCGTCCTCAACTTTTCGGCAGAGATGCTGCTTCTACTGCTGCTGCTGCTGCTACAACCGTCCAAAACGCCAATCGCTCTATTCAGTTTGAGCATTGTCGCCTGAATTACAGCAGCCTTGCATCAAATCTTTCGCATCGGAATGTGGCTGTTTCATTCGCAGAACGCTCCATTTTGCTCATGCAATGCATGCATGCTGTGCACGAGCTGCCCCTGTATTTGGCAATTCAACAATGACAAACCAACAACAAATAATCAATTCCCATTTTGTGTATCTGGCGAATTTCCCTTCGTTCACGTCTCATTCGTGCAAGATTATTTTCGTTGGTATTCTGTGTGCTCGATAAATCTGGTGTTTGTAAATAGTGTTGAGCAAAAGTTTATCTGCAATTTCAAGATATATACTCGTATGTTGAAGGAATAACGACCATCGCCAACAGGACAAGGGAATGAGAGGTGGGAAAGAACAAGTGAACAAAATATTAAAGGAAATGAAGAAAAATAAAGAGAATAGAGTGAAAAAGAGAGAAGAAAAAAACGAAAATGGTCCTGGGACAGGAAGACCAAATGCTGGGTTTTGCAATGTTTATGCGCCGCCAAACGAAAAATCGATGCTACAATTCTCCAGTAACTGAAGATGCGTGCATACAGGTTTTTGGCACGCAATTGAAGAAAAAAATACGAACATTGTTAGAGCAACATCCGGATTTTTGGTTTCGTTGATTTTCCATTTCTCTTTGCGCTCTCTGCTGTGCAATTTATTAGAAAGTGCTCGATCTCAATTCGAATGCTGGCGAATTTTACATATGTCATGACCATCACTGCATCCTCTTGAATAAGACGTTGGTTGTCGGATTAAAATAATGAGAAAAATTGTTGACGCACTTGATAAAAAGTTTGTGGATGTGTGCTTGACTATGCTACCGTGTTGAAGTACTATTGCATCAGCCAATGCACTCGATAAGACTTGCAAATGAGTCACACAACTTTGTAACTGCTTCCAACCAAAGAAACAAATAAACTATTGCTTCGAAGCAAAAAATGTACACAGTGTTCCCGTTCTACCCATTACTTTAAATACGGAAAATAACATGAACGCACAATCAGACAAGTGCAATGAATTAGAACTTTTTACGTACTAAATGTTTCGAGACGAAACTTGGGTGAAAGTTTTACACCAGCAAACTCACCGTGTTTATCTTTGTTACAACAAGAATTGTAGCTGGACTAACATTATAATAAATAAAAACCCACAAAATGCATCCAGAACGAAACTTTCCATAGAAATGGAGTTGAGCGAAAGACCTCTTTCATTTAACGCAACTTTGCTATTTCGATGAAACCCTTTAATGCTATGTATTGAATGCACGAAAGCACAAGAGTGTCGAACTATTTTTGTTTTGTCTATTGTCTGACTTGATAAATCACTTTGAAATGGAGCGAAAATCATTTTGTTGTGCCTTTTCAATTCGATTGGGAAAATTAACATCTCTTTGTGTGGTAAATATTTGCAATGAAATGAATTGTGTTTCCATTGTGAACAAAAAGAACAAGAGCACTGACGTGATAGCTTCAACAAGAATCTCTTCCTTTCCTTGTGTAAAATTAAATTTTGTCTTGAATCTTAAGCGTGCAAACGATTGACGACGAAAAGCTGTGTCCAAAACTATGAAAAATCAACCGGTGGATATTAAAAGTGAATTGTGTGGTTTGAAATTGCTTAATATTGAACTGAACTAGTACTGAGTAAATACCTTTATGACTTCATAGACTTTTACTACTTTAAGATGTGCTGATTTATAACGTCATTAACATTACCGTTTTATGTATGCGGCAAAGCCATTTCACCACTCTTACATTTTATAGGTGATTCTTTCTTTTTTGCGAGCGATGTAAAAGATTACTTGAACAGTTACGTTCTGGCTTTCTGGGTAACATCTTAAAGATGTGCATTTTATTCTTTTATTGAATCTATGAACTCAATTGAAGCGAAACAATGAGTACGGCCCATGTGGCCATTTACCGAAAATCACATTCCCACACATACACACACACACACATTCACCGTCTACGACTACCAGCAATAAATTTGGCATTCAAAGCATTTTATCGTACAAGCAAATATCTTTTTGCAGTTTAGTGGCCAGCAATTTGATTGCTGAATATTCAAAGCTTAACGAAACGTCAATTCCGGTGGCCACCCAAATAAGTGAAATGAATGAAGCAGAACCGGTTCGTGTAACATTCATTTGTGTGTCTGTAGACCATTTTGCCTCTATAAATTTCTATTAAATGCTTGAATTTATTGTTGACCAAAAACTTTACAAGTTATTTGACCAATAAATTGCGTTGCCTTTTCTCAAATGAAGAAATACACACACAAACCTATTTAACTAAATTAAAGGATTCGAATGGCAGCAATGCGAGTGCCGTACAAAACCACTTTAATATTGATGCTATTTCTAAATGGGCCTTGATTTCGAAATTGGAACGCCGAAATTCCGACTTGAAACAAAACTCACACGTCTTCGAAATCCAATCAAGATGAACATTTAATGTGTGCGCTTTTCGTTGTTTCAACCTTTTCTAGGTGAAGGATACTGTTTTAATGGAGAATGCCCATCATTGGACGGACAATGCGAACGAATTTGGGGTTATGGTAGCGTGGCAGCCGATCAACAATGCTACGACCAATTTAACACCAAAGGCTCCATCAACGGACACTGTGGCAAGGACGCAAATAGCGACTTCAAAAAATGCGAACTTGAGTACGTAAACCGTCAACAATACTTGAACAAAATACAAATAATAAAATTTCTCGTTTGGTCCTGTAGAAATGTCAAGTGTGGCTCGTTGCAATGTAAAGATGGCACTCGCCAGCCACCACCTGGCTTCGATCAAATGAGCTCAAAAACAATCATATCAATCAAAGGTGCCGAGTATGAGTGCAAGTGAGTAGTAGGCTGAATTGTTGTTTCAGAAAGTTTTTGTCGGTAAATCAATCATAAAACTTGACGATTTTCAGAACGACAAGTGGATCAACAACATCGCCTGAATTTACTGAGCATGGTTTGGTGCGCGATGGATCGCCTTGCGGCAAAAACTTGATCTGCGTAAATCAAACATGTGTTAGTCTGTTTCCATACATCGACCAAACGAAATGCCCGGCCAACAGCAACAACGTCGAATGCTCCGGTCAAGGAGTAAGTCAATACGGAATACCCAAGACAGTACCATGAATTGGGATAACTAACTGGAGTTTGCTTTTAGGTTTGCACAAACATGAATCGATGCTATTGTGATATTGGTTTCGCCGGACCGGACTGTGCCATCGTCGTACCTATAACCACATCAGTGCCAATCGAACCCGCATCTACGGCTGACAACAGCATCAAAATGGAGAGAAAAGAAACGCCATATGGTAAGCAATTTCGTGGCTAGTGGCCGCTGGATATTGCAACTTTTTCGGACAATTTTCGAAATAATAATAACCAATTTTCTATCCCTGATTAAAAATTAATGAAAAATCAAAAAAAAAAAAAAAAAGAACAAACGAAACTCAAATGACAATGGTAATCAATTTTTTCCGTTTATTTGTAATTTTGTTTGGATGTTTGCGATGTGATTTAAAAACGAAAAATAATTAGAGTTTCCGTTATCCGTTCGAAATCATTCATATTTTCATGCTTCAACCGTTCATTTTTTGATTCATTCCATTCCAAAATCAATTCCGCATAATTGATCATTTCTGTGATTCGTCATTTAACCAACGCTCATTAACACAAGTTGATCGAATAGAAGAGAAGAAAATGAATAAGATTCCCAATTGTTAGATATGGTTCAGTGTCATGTGCAATATTAACCAATCGCGCAATTCATAAAGTATACGATAAATGGATCGATGAACAAGCGAATGGATACTTTTGGCAAAATATTTAACTCACCCATAAACGATTTGTTCAACAGACCCCGAGGATAAGGATAAGATCACGACATTGCAAATGGTCATCATTTTAGTGGTTATCTGCAAATGTGTCTTCTGTAGTTTTGCATGTATGGCTATCTGCTACAGGTTGGTTCACGCTTTTCTATACCCAAGCAAAACAAAGACAGAAAAAAAAAAAACAAAACAAAAATGAGATGTGACGCGCAACGGCCGACTCCTATATTTTTGTCTTTCTCTCTATGTCTATTCTACTCTACTATATTGTTATTGTTATTGTTTTGAGTGTGTTAATTATGTGCGCGCAAATGGGCAATAATTACTTGAAGGTTTCTATCGGTTATGTATCTGCTATGAATCACAAGTATATTGAGTTTGGTTGTTTTTTTTTATTTTTCATCTTCTCTTTGATTTTTCGTGTGCTTTTCGTGCTTGTTTGTGCGTGAGCGTGACAACACATAATGCTCAAACAACATTATCTGGCATACAATCAACAACATATGAATAAGGAAACCAAGGTTACCTTTGATAAAATGATAATCAAATTTCCTTGCGTCGAAAAGTGAATGACAACAAAATCCTCCTTTTGATGGATCAAGTAAAGTCTAGACAGGTTGTCATTATAATTACAAATATCATTTTTGTTTTCCATTCAAAAAGGAAATGAACACATTTCATTTTCTTTTCTTTTTGCTTTTACTCCACTTTTTATTATTATCACAAAGCGTTGCGTTGTGTATGTGTGTGAGTTGTATTAGTCGAGATTTGAATTTCAAAAAAGCGTCGCGCATAAGAGTTTGCGCTCTTATTAAAATGCGTTTTTTTCCTTCGTTTTGGCGCCCATGCGCCCCCCATTTTTAATTTGACCATCCATTGTTGTTGATTGTCTAGAGAGTTTTGTGGTGGACGATTTATTTGATATTTTGTATAGAAAATTGAGCCAATGGCTTTTCGGCTTACCATATTGTCTTCGGTCGCATCGGTACGCGAAGAAAACTTTGACTTTTGCACATACATCTAATGTGGTGCCCATACCAATGCGTCGAATATCGCAAAACAGCAGATGTTTGATTGATTTGAGACTGAAAATCAAATTTTTTTTTATACACGAAAAATTCGATTTCTGTCAAATTTACTCGCTCCCGTTCAATATTTATTGAAATTGTATGTAAATTTTGTTGCGGTAAAAGTCAATCAGATTTTGTTCGACAGCGATTATGAATATGGTGAATGCAATAACCATTGAATTTATGTACTATATAACCGTAATATTGATTTGTATATTCATGTATTCACTATTTATAAAAAAAAAAAAATATTTACTAACCACCAGCTATATTGTGGACACTGTTTCTGTTTTGTTGTCAGAAAGTTTTGGCTAAGAGATAAAGTGCGAAACGCCAAAATGACTGATTGTTTTTGCTTTTGTTCGTTGAATTTGGTGTTTCGTTTGAGTTACTCGATGTATCTGTTTTTTTCTTTGTTTGTTTCTGCTTTGGTCATGTATATCTTTGGTCATTAAGGTTTTATACTTGTTCGCTCTATCATTTATCGCTGTGATTTGTTTTGGTTGATGATAAACAAGAAAAAAAAAAGTTGGAGCGATGTGAACGAGTTTGTATGAGCAGTAACAATTGAGTGGTTTGGAGCGAGAATGTAAAACAGAAAAGTTGAGCGGAAAAATGTCGATGATGAATGAGCGGAAAAGGGATAGCTATATAGTAAATTGTATAGTAAATTATAGTGAACTATATAGCTATCTCTTTTCATTTGACATTTTTCCTCTCAACTTTTCTGTATTACATTTTCGCTCCAAACCACTCAATTGATAAGGCAACTCGATCGAGTGAATTAGGTGAATTGTTTTCGAGTTCTTTCATTTGTTGATATGTTCGTCGGCAGACTTGTTAGGATCAAAAAGTTTTCATTAAATATGACTGTGCAAACGAAGAAAAAAAAAACAATAAATCTCAAAACCTGAAATCGACGCATTACAAACACAATTTACGAAATTGGATTGGAAAAAGCGAAATCCCAGAACAAATGTAGTCGCCTCAATTTTTCACTCTTCCCCTCACTCTCACTCTTTCTTGCATTCAGTCTCGTGGAGCAGACTCATAACTGTATGTGTATGTTCTAGTGTTGGGAAAAAGCGCATTTGGATACATATTCAAATGTGAAGTTGATTTATGGTTTTCCGAAATAAAACACAAACAAACCGCTAATGGTTTGCTACCGACTTCGTTTGCATAAATTTGCAAATATGATATTCAAATTCGAAGCGTATTTTTCGACATGTTTTACATGCATGCAATCATGTTGTCGCTACTTGTTCCTTTCCATCGACCAAATTAATCTAAATATTTGAATGTGCTGTAATTTCAGTTTTTGCATAAATTTTTTCGATTATTCAAATTTTCGGAAATACAAAAATATATAACCACTAAGGAATGAGTGAGAGCGTTCGCACTCGCGCCCGTGCGTTAAAAAAAACCTTCGTTCATTATCGTGCTTAGGTCGAGCTGTAAATTTCAACTGATGTATTGAATGCGCGCATCATTATCAAGATTTACGAGCATGAGCCTGGCGTGTAATAAAAACAAATCAAATATCACCATAAAGCTTGTACCAGTCCGAACGTTGAGAGAGAGAGAGAGAGAGAGAGAGAGAGAGAGCGAAAGAAGAGTCCTAAAAGCGCGTCCGTGAAAACAAACTTAATTTGTGTATTCTGGTGCTAGTGCGCTCGTTGTGACGATTTATATGCAAATGAAATCAGGAATTATTTATTTTGTTATTCAAAATATAATAAAACTTCAGTATTCAATATACTTGTCTACAAATTAACAATTTGACTGCAATGGAACGCCACAGGACACAGACACCCGACGAACGTATAGCCAACAGCCAATAGACAACAAATTCAACTAATATTGATGCGTATGTAGAGTGATTTGATGAAAATTTTGCAATTTTGTGCGATGAACGATTAAAATGTATCGGCTTCGAATGAGAAACGTTGACGCTACTAGAACACGAATAACATTTGTCGTGCGCATATTTGGTGCAATTAATTTGATTTTTGGTATATGCTATTTGCCCAATTCAGCGTCAAATCCGTATGTTCATTATTATATCGATTAGATTTTGCTTTATTTAATTATTTAATTGAGTTTTCCGACATGAAATATGGACATTGGCTTTAAGTATGCAATCAAAAAAAAAACTGAGTTCAAATAGAATCCAAGTTCGGGTGGTGGCTCATCTTAGCAGACGAATACAAAATGAAAGGAAATGGATACGTTCCTTGGGGATAAACGCTTCGTATTAAATTGGAGATACATACGAATCTGATGCGTTTCCTTGAAAGTGCGACACAACAGTGACACAAGTTTCGATATTAACGGCGTTTCCATTTAGATGAGAGAAATTCCGGTTTAAGAATTTTGTTATGAATAAGAAGTCACTCTTCAGTTGTAATAAAGAATAACGTTTGTTCTAATTCTGTTTACTTCGAATTGAATTAATTAACGAAAAAGACATGCTATATCCGGATTCATATGTCTACTACTCGACAATATTTTCGTTCAAGTTGTTTGGGTGTGTTAAGTTAGATCAAAGTTATTCGCTAATGGACCAAGGAGAGTGAAAAGGAAAAACACCTAAATTTGGGAATGGATGATTTTGACGCATCAATACATCATATACATGTACACAACACTCCTCAATAAAAAAAAAACTACGCTACAAATATACCGCGTGTATTCCCTGCGCACGCTACGTTTTTACCATTTTCACGCTTACGCTTATTTTATACATAATTTAATACAGAGCAGAAGGTATATTTAAGGCATATTTTTAGCGTGAACCGCATGCAAAGCATACGGATAGAATAATTTGACTTAGCGTATTCTATCCGTATGCTT